GCCTGCGTGATCGTCGACCCCTGGGGCGCCAACAGGAAGTCTATGTCCATTTCCCTGGCCTTGCCCTTGCCCTTGGGATCCGTTCCGCTGCTCCTAGGGATGGAAAAGGGGTCCACCCTCGCGGCACTGCTGCCTTCTCCGGCTGTACTGCTGATGCCTCCAGAAAACGGGATTACCCAGCTTCCGCCTCCTCTTCCTCCTGCACTCCGGCTTGCTTCCGCCTGGAGTCGCTGCTCACGCTTCTTTGCTTCTGCCGCTGCCTCTCTGTCTTTGTCTTCTTCGAAGGCGCGGTCGAGCGCCTCCTCCACCTCGTCGAGGAGGTCGGTAGCCTCCGCGGACTCGTACTGGACGATGATGGTTTTCAGGGCGGCCTGGGCGCGGCGGAGGATCGCCGCGGCTTTCTCGCGCTGTCTTCTCTCAGAACCCGGCCTCCTCGTGTCGTCTGGCACCCGCACCCGCACCCGCTGCCGCTCGCTGCCTCCCGCAGCAGTATTAATACGTACCGTGGCCTCCGCCTCCCGCTCCCGGAGGAACGTCTCCCACTCGCCGTACCACACCGTGCCGATCTCGCGGTCGCGGTACCGCGGCTTCCGCCGGTACCCCATCATGGCGATGGCGTCGTCGCGCTCCTCCCACTCGACCACGCACCGGTCCTGGTCCAGGAACGTCATCTGCACGATCGCGCCGTAGGGCCGCAGCAGCACGTACACCTCCTGCCGCTTGGCGTCCGACACCGGCGTGTTGCGCTCGACCGAGGCGAGCACGCTCTCGTTGTCGTCGAGGCCGTGCACCACGAGCGTGCGGTCCTCCCACCCGGCCTGTCGCGGCTTGCGCTTCTGCTTGGACGGCACGTCGTGCTTGCTGCCGCCGCGGCCGGTGTACCCGGGCTGCAGGGCCGGATCCGGACGCCTGTTGCGGCCCAGGAACACGTGGGCTGTGAGCATCACGAAGGAGGCGGCTAAGGCGATCTTGGGCCGGATACGAGGCGAGCCTCGACTCGTCACCGGGGCTGCTAGGATGGTGGTTCCGGGCTTGGCGGATCTGGTGGCATTACGGATAACTTCTACTCGCTCAGAGATCCGTGTGCTGCTTGCGCTAGGTATGATATACAGATTTGCTGCTACCGAGAGAGGAGGTGGCCAGGTTGTGGCGGTTCCGGTGGTGGGAGTAGAGGTTGTCAAATACACGGGTGCTCCTGCCCTCCACCCTTGTGTCGATAAGGGCATGATCTGTATCATATATTTACTCTCCTCATTACTCGGGCCCAGTGGTGTAGTCTGTATTGACGGTGCTCGAGAAGCGTTTTCGTACTGGCGGATTTCTATGATGGAGTGCCTCTGCTGAGGACGTGACAGATCGGTGGCGACATCGTCGGGCAAGGAACTAGATGTGTTAGATACCACGGCGTTAAGCTCGAGTACGGCATGCTGTGTTATTAGTTGTGTATGCGTCGTAGTTGACTTGAAGCAGGGTGAAAATAGCAGACTGTCTATCGTGGCATCTAGTTGATGTGGAATGCGGCCGACTAGTTCATCAACGATGGGGTTTTTCTGTATACCGTCGACGCGGCCAATGGGGCTGGAAGTTCTGTAATCTATTTCTATGTTAGACTTCTTGATAGATGTAGATCTGCTGTAAGTGTAAGCTCCAGAAGGCCTATAGAGAGATGTCGTCACGATGAGTTCCCCTGTGCTATTGACATGTTGCGCCCATGTGAAGCAAGAGAGCAGCAAGGCGATCCCAATACACACTAACACGGCCATTCTGAATACTTGAGAGATAATGACACTGTAAGCTATGATGTCGAGTAAATAAATGTAACGAGCATGATGGAAGAGATGATTCTGGAGTTGGGATCGTGATAGACATGTCAACAGAGGAGGTAAAGCGAACGACCTAGCACGTAACGAGTACAGTTTCCCATATTAGGCATTGTTCAGCCGAGGCATCTACCTACAGGTGGTAAAGTGCTTCAATAAGGTTCGGAGTATATCGTGCTTGACGATATCGGCAGCTGAGGATGGCAGCAAATACACTCGCACCTGCTATAGCTATGCGGTCACACGCATAGATCCAAACCTAATTCCACATGATATATCCCGTCCAATGTACACCTGAGCAGCTTTGGCTCTTAGGTCTTCGTTCCAGTCGACCCCCCTACCGGCAGTCCACACAGCATTGCCCTTGCCCTTGAAGCTCGACACTCAATGGCCCTTTCTCCCTCGCTGGCTGATTGTCGGTAGTACCTGCTCGTCATTATGCCTATGGGTGGAAGGAATAAGGAGGGGCTGGCTTGTGGAAAGATCAGCTACTTTGAATAGGTCGATGCTGTGGTGTGGTACGGATGGGTAGGCATATACAAAAGGTCGACTCTATAGTGGTATAGACGGAGACGGATACAGATCGGACCTATCATAGACCAATGAATATGAATCCAATTAACGGCATCTAAGCAATATTAGGTTATTGACATCCGATGCTGCTACTTCCAAAATAGAAGAAGAATAGGCATGTCTTATAAGGAGCACCTTGCAACTAATGGGAGACTTACAGGAAAACAGGATGCCAACATATGGCGTCGTTCAGATCAACATCGGCGTCGCATTTGAGCCAATGCTAATCCTAACCCCTAAAAACCAGCGCGATCATGCCAATGGCTTGCTTGTTGGTGCTGACTTACAGGCATCGTGGACGCTTCCCGCCAATGGCAGTGGGTGTTCTAAATCCAAGTAGCTCTCCCACATGGGCGCGTCGGATGTAACCTTAAAACATACTTTCATTCGTTACAGCCTGCAAACAACAACGTTGGGGTTTCCGACGTGTATGTCTCGGTTTGTTTGGCCTCACTGCATGGCATATGACGCACCCCCTCAAGTGGTGCCTGGACGAGAATTTCGAACATCCTCATCCTGACTCCTCGCATCAACAACCGCACCATCAACAGAAGCCAAATTTCGACACATCATTATCCCATATCGGTATTTTACGTGAGCTGAAGAGTAACATGAGCTTCAATCCGAACGAGCCGTACATCGGCTTGGACGATCAGGCTCCGACTGTCCCTGTCACAAGTGGTTCTAGCATCCATTCGACCGGAAGTGCAGATGCCGAAACGGACGTTGTGGGAAACAACGGAAGCAACGTGGGAAGCAGTGAAGTATGCATTCCATATCTACCAGAAATCTTAGTCTAACGAGTCTTAGAACGAGATTCCCGAAATCGGTGTGGATCATGATTCTATATGTTCCGGAGCGGTACCACAGCAAGAAATGAAAGCCCCCATCGCTCCCCCGGATAATGACTGGTCTTTATTAGACAATGAGCAGCTTCAGGAGCTTGCGAAGCGGATAGAAACTACCGTGGACTTTGACGACGGCCGAGGAGATACTACGCTCATTGTGAGGAAGGCCGGCGAAGAACATCTCGAGAATGATGTGAAGAATTTTTCGGCTTTCAAGGTCTCATCGGCAGCAATGATTCGAGCCTCCCCCTTTTGGGAAAAGGTCTTCCTTGGACCTTTTTCCGAAGCTCAGCCTGGCCACATGAAGGTCCTCAATTATATCGAGGACGACACAGTCAACTTAGAGATACTCCTCGACATCATCCATTTACGATTCAACAGGATACCCCCTTATGTATCTCTGAAGTCTCTAGCAGAGATGGCTGCTCTGACCGATAAGTTCTGCGCGACACGTATAGTAGGCCCATGGATCTGGAGATGGTTAGATCAACTCGACCAGCACGGGTCTGAACCTCAATGGATTTGGATCTCATGGGAGTATGGTCTCGAGGATATCTACGATCGTGCCTACCGTAAGCATTGCATGAACATGGCCATCAATGAACATGGCGCCCCTTTAGTTCCGGGCACGCTGCCTCCGACTATAGAAGGTAAACAAACATCTTCTGCGCCGTTGAACGTGATAAGCTAATGAACCACTCAAGACAAGGCCATAGAGAGTCGAAGAACTATTGTCAAGGATACGCTATGTGGTATTTATAAGTATTTCAATAAGCTCCGCCGACTGGCTAAGGGATTCGATGGAGAGCGCGCAGACTATGTTGGCAGTGTTGCAAAGAAATACTGCGACGAGGGTAGACGAGAGTGCGTTTTGACGCAAATTGGCGCATACTTCTGCGGGCTGGAGAACAGGGGCCTCTGGCCAGAGAAAGATCCCTCTGAGATTCTTATGAGTCCAGACGACTTGCGAGAGATACTACAAAGTATATTCACCATGGTCAACCACCCCACTATCCCCAGGAACGTCAGATATTCTCATTCGTGTGGGCGCTTCAAAAGCATCATTGATGGGTTGTCCGAGTCGTCTCCTCTTCTCAGCATGTCGGGGGAGCAGAGGGCACGTTTAGCTAAGCAGCATGGGCTTTGGGCTTTCCCAAATGATCACATCCAGGTTGAAAAGCAACCCCGCGAAAGCAGTCCCCCCCATAAAATCCGCAGATACCGGCGGATGGGATAGCTACATTGGGTATTGGTGCCAGTAACCGATTTTTGCCATTCGACACGGGCGATCAGACATTTGATTTCTACATTTTCCCCCAGGATCAGGTCACAATAACGAATGCGAATGATATGGATGAACAACTCAGTTGGGATAAAGACCCTTGGTGAGTTAGCCGATACCGGCAGCACGAAGCTACTGCTGCCATCGGCTTGCGTATGACGAAGGCTAGCTAAAAGCAGCTCCCCATTGCAAAATCAACCCATAATTATAGATAAACCCCTTGATGCTATCCGGGGTTTGCCTCTTGCGAGTAAATTTCAAACCCTTTGGAGTTTAAAAATAGACCCAGAAGTGAAGTGCTCCATAGGTCTTGAGGGCACGAGCGACACTTCAAAGTCATATAATCTAATACCAATGCTGTGTATAGTATAAATACTTTACCCTATTTTCGAGCTAAGTTATTCAACCCCTTTTTGAACTTGAAGAACAAGGGTCGAATCACCTCTATCTACAATAACAAAAAGGTCAAAAAGATTACTCTCTCTCCGGGAATTGAACCCGGGCCACCTGCGTTTTGCACTTCGTGACAAGCAGGTATCCTGACCACTAGACTAAGAAAGAGAAGGATGATCGGTTAGATCACACGATCTTGGGCTGTGGGTCCTATTGGTTATTTTTCGATTTTCTATAGACGCTTATATAGCTCGAGACAAGTTCCTATCGTCGGGTCGTTAGGCAAGATCGTAGTGCACCCTAAATAGACTAGGAGTAACTCGCGGACGGCCCAGCCCGGAACAAGTCCCTACATATATCATAAGCATATAAATATATCAGAGCTCGCGGCCACAACCATAGACGATAACCTAATATCTGCTTCTAATTGGCCGTCTAACATAGGGGGGTGGGGGGACATAAGGAGGTGAGATAACTCAGACTTGTTAAAGGCCAGAAGACATATTGACAAACCTTGGCGTAACTGCGCATATATAGACTCACGGATAAACAACCACCTAGCTCATTCATATTATGCTTCTCACTTCTAAGTTCGACCTCCGATTAGTCTAAGTGGTCCAGATGTCATAGTTAGTACTGTTCTCAATCATATCCGCTGACTCCCCCCTGTAAATCTCTCATCTTTTCGAGCGCCTCCTGTTTATGAGCTTCCAGGTCCAGTGAAAAGATGAAGCTCCATCTTGTCGCGAGTGCGCTTCTCAGCTTATCGGGGTCTAATCCAATATCTTTTCCCCGCCCGCACATGATCTGGCCGGTAGCTCGGCTCGAATCGATGACCTGCTGGCCTCTCGGTCTCCGCACCGCATCATAAGCCCTGAAAGCCGCCTCGATGTTCTTGGCCGATGTGGCGCTCCCGAGAAGCGCTCCCAGCACGGCAGCATCCTCGAAAGCTTGTCCGGCACCGGCCCCTTGCCAGGGCGTTGTCGCGTGGGCGGCATCACCCATGATGCACACGCAGCCATTGGCGTACGTCGGCGTCGATTTGTGTTCCCACTGCGAGTAACCTCGTGGGTTGGATTGGTCGAGCGTGAGCTGAAGGTAGGCTGGTTAGGGCACGGACGAAGATGCTAATTGGTATGAGCAATTAGTGGAAGGGGATAAAAGGCTAACGTCTATGATACCAGTTCCAACAGGACCGTCGATCCAGTTTCCCAGGGTTTCAGACAGGGACTCCCGTGTGAGCTGGCGTTTCCTGTCTTCAGGTGGATCTGTCTCGATAGCCGATACAACGCATTGGGTCATTGTTCGATTTTCTAGCACGTCGTGCATGACGAACGCGCCATCGCCCACCCAACCGTATTGCCGGTCTACCTCGAAGTACTGCTCTCCTAGGGTTGCTTTAGCCTTTTCAAACGGTACCACGTTCCTGCTATCCCACTAGAGTATGGAATTAGAACTGCCTGCCTCATAACAATCGACACGAGATGATCGACTAGTATGGGACCACTCACAAACCCGCAGGTGAGGCAGCGCACTCTTTTGCAGCGTCTTGCAGGACATAGTTCCGGACGGAACTGAATATACCATCTGCACCAATAACGGCATCAAACTTATCAATGGAGCCGTCTTCAAAGGTGATTTGGATACCAGCAGGAGTCGTCTCGATCATGGTAAGTTTCTTGCTCGAGTGCAACCGCTCTTTTGGCAATGGTGCTATCAGTTCACGCAGAAGGGATGCACGATGGATGATCAAGCTCTTTTCACCACCAGCCACGTCAACGATCAAACTGCCCGCATGCGGCCCAGATCCCTTGAGAAAGCGTCAGCCAGACAGATCAATAAGAGAACACTCATAATGAGCTGTGACCTACGACGACGAGACGGCTCGAATTCATGGTAACGGCACCGGCCTTCTCGAGTGCTTCATCTGCTGAGGGGACGATATGCCTCAGAGCAGCCAGAGCATTGCTCGAAAGCCCTACCGCGGCTCCGCGTTCCGAGAACTCGGGTGCGGACTCGTAGACTTGGACATCGAGGTGTGGAATTCGAACAAGGGCATTCGCCAGTGTAACTCCAGCGAGACCACCCCCTATAATTGCTACACGTACAGGGGCGTTCGACATTGTGCACTAAAAACCGAGAGTAATCGGTGATTTCTGGGCAGTGAGATATACACAAGTTGGACAGTAGGTATGATATAATATATAATGATATTAGATATAGGTAACAGAAATGCCAAAAGTTTCCAACAGTAAGCAGTGCTTACGCTATGACGAAAAGCCCTTTTGGGGTGGTGCATATTACCTGACACGTTCTACTTTATAGCCAGAGGCGTCAATGGCATTATTACAAAACAAGTAAATAAAGGGGGGAACGTATGGAAAATGTATAACACACTGTAAAACCACATATTTGCGTATCAGGCGTGACCGCGCCGCTGGTGTACAGGTTTCGCCCCTCCTGGTCGCTAGATAACATCCCTCGCTTCCGAGTTGTCATCGAAATGACCCCAATACTGGCCCCAATACTGGAACCTCTCTTGACTTACCTGTGAGGGTTCTCCTGTTGCATTTATACGAAATGTCAAGATGAGTTTATTACAACTTGCTTTGTAGTAGTTACACTGAGATGGGAGAGTTCTGTGATCACTACCACAAAATAGGGGCTTAGCGGGTATCAACCAGGAGCGCTACGGTATGCGTGCGCCCCCATGATACTTTTGGATTATTTGTCATTACTGCCCCTTACTCCTGAATGTAAGGAACTACCTACTAGAACACATCGAAACATAATGTAGTTAATCTTACATGCTAGACCTAGACACTGATATAGTCGCAATGAGAATGGCTAAGGGCCTCTAAGTGTATGCTCACCAATGTGTTTGGGATTGCAATGGTAACAATACAAATCCCTATATATTACAATGCATTGAAAACAAGATGCTTCATCTACGTTACAAAGTAGGAGACGAGGACAGACCAATTAATCAATATTCATCAAGGTAACCACATGAACATGTTTTATTCAGGCTAACAATACGCCCACGTGTGCATCGTTGTCAAGGTGAAAGTACCAAGAGTAGTCATGGCCTATACCAGGCATCATTTCCCATTAACAGCTCTAATAGACATAGCAAAGTTTGTTCCATCGCCTGACATTATCCTTATCCGTACATGAATCATCATGAGCCGCGGTACCTACGTATTGGCAACAGGTATTGTCCCCTTCTCCCCTTCGGGAATCATCATCGCAGATTCCCAGTCCGACTGAACCGAGTCGGGCTATTCCCCAAATCGAGCAAACAAGCAAGCACGAGCGCGAGGGCTCATATATATACACACACGCCTTAACTCCGAGCCAACTTACGCACCATGGATATCATCCCTTCCCTTTGTAAACTCTGCCACCGTGGCTGCCGCCGCCGCCGCCGCTACCGTTTCATTTCCCTTTACCGCCTGCCTGTCTGCCAGCCTGCCAGCCTGCCAGCCTGCCTACCCCTACCTAACCTCCCCCCCAAGTTGCCTGCCTACCTACCGACTGATCTTGCTCCCGACGCTACTCATCGTGTCGCTGAACCTTTCGCTGATCTTGGAGCCCCAGCCGCCCATCCACTTGGGGATCTTGAGGCTCATGCGGACGCGGCCCTCGACGATCATGTTGATGAAGTGGGTCAGGAGGTAGGCCATGCTGCCGAGGGCGCGGAAGAGAGCGAGCGAGGCGACGGCCCACAGGATGAAGCGCAGGTAGAAGTTACTGCCGATGCTGTCGCCGCTGTAGACCTCGCTCATGGACATGGCGAGGATGGCGTTGGCCACCATCCACGAGACCACCATGTACGTGCGCACGCTCTTGTAGTAGTCCTCCTGCAGCTGGCTCTCGGAGACGCCCTCGGGCGCGACCTCGACGCGGTCGCGCAGGTTCCGCAGCGCCTCGTCGTACCCCGAGTCGATGTCGAGCTGCTCCGACGGCATCTCCAGCTCGACGACCGAGCCCTTGCCGACGGCCCCGCCCAGGTCCGTCTTCATGACGTTGTCGCCCTTGGTGCCCCACGTCACGTCGTGCGTGTTGCAGAAGGCGTACACCTGCAGCATGCAGATGTAGCTGGGCAGCAGCATGAAGTACTGGGCCAGACACGTGAACATGTGCCAGGGGTCGAGGTAGACGAAGGACATGAGGAAGTACAGGCCGATGGTGGAGCAGGTCGAGACGATCAGGTTCGTGAAGATGTTGTTACCGAGCGCGAGCTCCGGGTCGTCCTTTTGGTTGATTTGCCGGATCACGATGTACACGGTTGCAAACATGGTGTACGCCATGATGACGCAGTACATGACCATGCTGAAGAGGTAGATCTTCTTGGCGCCCTGGGGGCGGTTGCCCAGCGAGATGATGAACTGCATGCTGATGAGCAGCACGCAGATGTACCGCAGCAGGTTGAAGATGACGCGCGCGATGCCGTGGCCGAACGGGTCGACCTTGTCGTCCGCGAGGCCGCCCGCGATGAAGTAGAAGGCGAGGTAGAAGTTGGCGAGCGAGAAGTACGTGAAGAGGAGCTGGATGAACTGGTAGACGAACTCGATGTGCAGCAGCACCTTGCGCGCGATCGTGTGGTCCGTCGCCCAGATCTGCCTAAAATGCACAAGCGAGTAGACAGCCGCGAAGAAGGCGCCGTTCAGCCACCGACGGCGCTGCGAGATGAACTCGGGGACAGAATCTACGCTCTCCTGTTAGCTGCTACATCCAAAGAGCACATCACACCACATCGCATCCCATCCCATCCCATTATATCGTATAAGCGGGACGAGCGATTTCTAGCAGAACACTTACCAGGAACATCGGTTTCACCAGTACAGCTCTTGACATACTTCAAGACCCATCTCTCGCTCCTCTTGGCGACCAGCTCCCAGCACAGGATACGATCCTCGGCGAGGTACATGTTGGCGGTGAAGACGTCGGCGTGCTGGCCGTGCAGCGTCTCGCCCTTGAAGTACTGGCTCAGGGGCCCATGGCCCGTCTCATCGTTCTGCAGGGCGTGGTAGCGGTACGCGCTGAGAGCGCCCGGCAGGACCGTTATGTAGCCGAAGACGGACTCCAGCGGCTTGTCGAGGATGTTGGACAGCTTGTACTCGAAGTTCTGGGAGGCGACGAGCGGGTTCAGCAGGTTGCGCAGG